GGTGAGGACTAAACGAAGCTTCACAATCTTTGTACCAAGCTGCATCAGCTGCTCAACAAGCTTGATCATTCAGTGAGAACACTCTGTAACCTTAGATCCCAACATGTAATCATGAGACGCTTTAAAGAAGCAAAACAGCCTTCCTGTACATACTTCTACTCCTCACTAGAGGGCAGCATCAGTTCATTAATTTGTTTGAGGAATTCAAACAGCATGGTCCTTAGAGAGACTCAAAGGACTGAAGCAGAACAGAACAGACACAAAGATAGAGAGCTGGAAACAAACATAATAAAGATGATTTAGCCGCTCACCTCAGGTGCTGTTTTGACTTTTGCAGACAGCTTCATCATGTTCACACCTGTCATGAAGCTTGATGGAAGACAGTAGGTCTTCTCTTTGATGGGTTAGTTCTGTGAAGACTCCGCCACCCGGCCAATAGTTGGGTCTTTGTTTTGAGTCTTTGGTTTGCTGCTGTCTGTGTGATTGCTGCAGGAGATGTGTGCTGTCTGCAGGCTCATCAGCAGGTTCGGCTTCAACTGGGCCTGGTGCACTCATTCACTCACTCTCTCTCTCACTCTCGCTCGCTCAGCCTGATCGATGTTTGCACATTTGTTTTTTTAGTTCCTTATGTTAGCGCACTTTCAACACACTCTTTCACCACTGATGAAACAGATTCAACACATCTCATAAGTCATTTAAATTATATGTTTTCTTTGATAAACTTCAGACTCTTGTCTTTCGCCCTTACCCACCAGCCGGGTCATGATCTTTTGAAGGTCCAATAGATGCCTCAGGATCAAATAATGCAAGCAGGTCTTCCTTCAAACCCTGCAGATGATCCAACACGCAGCAGCACAGCTCAGAGCCGCAGCCGACCGAGGTACCTCTGACTTGGAACAGGGCACGTTTAAAAAGAGCTTCATTCCCTCGGCTGTTAAAGATCTTATCAAGTTTCCATGCTAACTGTTGCTTTGATTGCTGTTATACTAAACCATGTACCAGCTGTGTAAACTTCAGAGTCATCTTGATAAGAGTCAAGATTTTTCATCCGCTGAGCATCTGATTCACGTAAACATTTATCAGACCACTGACATGTGCCCCAAAAGAGCGCACATCACTCCGCTGTTCATCTCCCTCCACTGGCTCCCAGTTACACCACCATCCCTGACTCACAGAGACACTGTTTGCTCTGCAGCACCATTCAGGGAGCATTTAACCGCCTGCATCTGTGTTCTGAATCAGACAGTGTCTTTTTTATTTTTTTAAGATTTATTTTTGGGCTTTTTATGCTTTCATTTAGAGACAGGACAATGGGTAGGGTCAGAAAATGGGGCGAGAGAGAGAGAGAGAGAGAGTGGGGAATGAACCACTAGTCTAGCGGTGCCCTAGTCGTGCTTTTTTTCAACTTTTCTGCCCCGGTTTAGCGAGCACAAAAGCAGCGCCATTCAAATCAGTCCCTCAGGGGTTTCATAAAAGCTCCAGTCTAAAGGGGGCGCTCTCAGGGATTCAGACTTGTTATGAAAGGAATCATCATCATTGTCTTTTACAGTTTATACACGAGCTGCTTTAAACTCTCAGTTTGTGGCACATGAAGCGCTCGCAGCATCCAAACATGGTGGTTCTGTGATGAAGTGAGCAGCTGTTGAAACCCTGCAGATATATTCACTCTGTGCCATCAAGCAGTAAAACCCTCACTGATTGGCCCTTCTTTTTTTTTTTTTTTAAATGAACGGACATATTTTCTTTTTTCTGGAGGAGCTGCTGGCGCTTGAAGCAGCTGTTTGGCGCCCGGGTGTCGGGTGAATATCAGAGAGACTCTCTTTCTGACTCCACAGCCGGCCAGATTAGAAATGAGGAGCGATAAAGGAGGAGAGGAAACGGGTTTCCCAGGAGAACAATCCGGAGAATAACTCTCCATTCACACAGACACGGAGAATATTGACACTCTCTCACAGCCAATCAGCTTTTAGTGGCTTCTTCTTTTTTTAATCAGAGAGTCTCAGAACATCTGCTGCTCCTCCGTCTCATTGTCTCTCTGTCTCTCTGTCTCTCTGTCCGTCTGTTTGACTGTCTCAAAGCCAAATCTTGGATTAATCCAGATTTGGCACAAACACAACAATAGCGCTGTGTGTGTGTGTGTGTGTGTGTGTGTGTGTGTGTGTGTGCAGGTGGTAGCTCATGCTGCAGCAGGTCTGATGCTGCAGAAGTGTTATGTGCCTTTTTTGTCAGCTTTTCAGCTTTTCATGCTCCTAAAATGTTAAAGGCACAGTATGTAAATTCGGCCACCAGGGGGCTCTCATTCAAAACAATAACAAAAGATGAAGTGGAGGCTGGTGGGGAATCATGAGAGTGATTCTCTCTGTTAAATATGACTTTGGGAGCGTCTACAGCCTGTTGTTAGCTAACTGTCCCTGGTCATCAGGTTTTCAGGACTTTATGATTCAGTCCCATAGTCCTCCCAGACCATGCAAACATTTACACACAAACAACAGATGGAATACGTCAGAGTAGTGTTATAGTACTCAAAATCAGCCTTGGTCTCGAGACCTTTTTGAAAGTTTTGGTCTCGCCTTGGTATCTGAAGCATTTTTACTCGTTCTTGTCTCGGTCTCAGACTGGGTTTTAAATCAAGACCGGTCAAGACCATCACTGATCGTCTGTTTCTCCACGTCATTATTGTGATTAGAAGGAAAACGCCTCTTTCTAAAAGAACAATATCCCCATGGTTACGGCCTCAAACTTCCCGGTGTTACGGTCTGAGTGAGGGACACGCCCCCTAAACACAAGATGAGACACAATTATTCAGAGATATTTATGGTCTTAGTCTTGTCTCGGTCTCGTCCTGTTTTGGTCTTGGTCTTGTCTCGGTCTCGTCCTGTCTTGGTCTTGGTCTTGGTCTTGGTCTTGGTCTTGGTCTTGGTCTTGGTCTTGTCTCGGTCTCGCCCTCTCTTGGTCTTGGTCTTGTCTCGGTCTTGGTCTTGTCTCAGTCTCGGTTAGTGTGGTCTTGACTACAACAAACCAAACAAAGACGAAAAGCCAGGTAGACTGCTTTGGGTCGCACACCGAGACGTTGTGGACTTGCGGGCACAGCAACTCCTGCGTACTACATCCTGACATTTTTTATCCGTGAAGAACGACTTGAGTGTCCCAGTGATTTAACTTCTATCAGTGTGGAGGTCAAAGGGGCGGAGAGAGCAGCGTGTCATCACAGCCTGCGTTTCGCTTGAATCACTGAGAGTGAAGAGAGTTACACATCAGAGCCGGCTGTGTAAGAAAATACATTTATTATCAGACAGATTGAACAGTAATCAGACTGGACATGTTTACAGCCGACTGCTCCCCCTGAACAAACTCAACCCATGAACTATGAACCCAGCCTCCTCCAGGTAACGCTGACACCTCTGATCAGCTTCTGATGAACCCTGGTATTAGAACGTTTGCATGACACAAAGTTCATTCTTTATATTTTATTTTATGTTTACTTGCCTGGAGGATTGGTTTGCCACCATCTAAGCTCCGCCCCAAAAAACATCACATGGTTTTCTAAAACTAAAAGGGTCTTTAGATCACAAGCTCTGCCGCCTCCATCTTAACAGATGGGACAAACTTTAAAATCCAAATACATGTCAAATGAATCTTCCTCAAACCTGGTTTCTGTCATTATAGATAGTTTGTATCATGCTGATTTATGTCCAAGAGTTTATTTTTAGTTATTTATGTGACTGACTCTGTCGACGAATGAGGCTCCTGCGTTGCTGTGTGCATCGGATTATCAGAGTGGAGGAGGAACGATGAGAGGACACTCATGGGCCTGTTTACGACAACCACCGGCTTCAGAGAGATTTAACATCCGGTCCCAGAGGCAGATATGGTCTCTCAGATGATGACAGACGATGGTTGGCAAGAGGTCCAGAGGTCGCTTTTCCGGACACATAGATGGACGAGAACAACAACAAATCTAACAAATCACAGGAGATGTAAGCTATGATTCAGAAGGCTTCAAGCAAGTCACACGTTTTACATCAAAGAAATGAGTGAGTTTTAAAAAAAAAATTAAATAGTCAGTGGGAACCATTGGGCTTCGAGCGAGACGGTTTTGGGGGACAGACGTTCAGGTTGCTGGTTTGGGTCTGTACGTTATTAGAGTAGAAAACAAAAGACATCAGGATCGGTCGGTCAGCTCTCCTCCTCCTCCTCCTCAGCTGAAGAAATCTTTAGAAATGGCCTCCACAAAGTTTGGAGCGGACATGAGGATGCCGATGGTGCAGAGGATGGTGAAGAGCGAGAATGCCACCAGACACAGCCGGTCGATCACCGCCGCAGCAAACTTCCACTCGTTGCACAGCGTCTCCTCCTCGTCCTGTCGCGGAAACGCCGGGCAATGTACCTCACCTCCTCCAGGATCAGGTTCAGCTCCGCTTCCACGGTCAAGCCCCTATAACCCCTCCCCCTCCCCTTCCTCCGGCTCCGCCCCTGCTCTCAGCATGTCCTCCTCCGCGCCCGCCGCCTCCCATCAGCCGAGAGCAGAGGAGCTCGGGTTCAGCAGAGGAGGTGTAGTGAAGCCCTTCCATCCCCCTGAAGCCCACATACAGCAGGTTGCCGTTGGTTACGGGCGGTTGATGTCGCAGAGAGCCCTGACTGACGCTCAGCTCCAGGCTGGACAGACTGCTGCGCTGACGCTTCGAGGCATTTTGACACGCCAGGCGGACCTTCGCCTCGCCCGGACGCCGCATTCTCAAGAACCAGGCGCACCAGTTCAACAGAATCACCCGAGTCTGAGAGGAAGAAGAAAAGGAGCAGAAGGTCAGACAGGAGGAGAACACGGGAGACAGTTCAGTTCATGTTTAGAATTTAGACTGCAGTACCCATTTTAAACACTAGGGGTCAGAGTTACATACTGCTCCTTAAATATTTACTAATCAAACTCAAACTGAACGTTGGTCACACCTTTACCACTGTTCCTCTGACAACCACATTAACAACATGTCCACACTTCTTTTATTTCATACAACTTTACATCCACATTACAAGTCCAAACATTCTGCTCTCAGGCTGAACTGAAGCTGCTGTGATTGGTCCCTCACAGCGCTTCACTGTCAGAGGGGACATTCAAATACAACACACGCACATTAGAGCGGGGCAGTCACCTCACACACACACACACGCGCACGCACACACACACACACACACACACAGCTGACGTAAGAGCTCTGACCTTCAAACCAAACGCCACTTTAATGCAATTCCTCTAGTTCAGATTCCCACAGGGGGAGCAGGGGAGCATGCATTTGTGTGTGTGTGTGTGTGTGTGTGTGTGTGTGTGTGTGTGTGTGTGTGTGTGTGTGTGTGTGTTTCTGTTTAATAAATCAATTTGATGTTAATGTCCAATCAGCTCTCAAACTGAAGACTGCCCTCTCGTTAAGAACTCAAAGTGTCAGGAAAAGGAAGTGGAGGAAGAGGAGGAGGAAGAGGATGAAGAGGAGGAGAGGAGGAGGAGGAAGAGGATGAAGAGGAGGAGGAGGAAGAGGAGGAGGAGGAGGAGAGGAGGATGAGGAGGAGGAAGAGGATCAAGGAGGAGGAGGAGGAAGATGAAGAGGAGGAGTAGGAGGAGGATGAGGAAGAGGAGGAGGAGGAGGAGAGGAGGAAGAGGATGAAGGAGGAAGAGGAAGAGGAGGAGGAGGAGGAGGAAGAGGATGAAGGAGGAGGAGGAAGAGGAGGATGAGGAGGAGGAAGATGATGAAGGAGGAGGAGAGGAAGAGAAGGAGGAGAGAGGAAGAGGATGAAGGAGGAGGGGGAAGAGAAGGATAAGGAGGGACTGACCCACTGAGGCATGTGTCTCCGTCGGGGTCGTGGTGATGATACTGCAGAACCAGAACTGTAGCGATGACGGACAGACCCACGATCACCATGGTGGTGGCAAAGTACTGAGCTGAAACCCAGAGGTCAAAGGTTAAACTGATGGAGCAGGAGGGCGAGGAGGAGGAGGATAAAGTGATGGCTCCTTTTTTAGTGAAGAGCTCACCTATGAGGGGAACTGAGTCAGATGTCGCCGGCATGATCTCAGCCACCAGCAGCATGAAGACGGTCAGAGAGAGCAGCACGGTGATACCTGCAGAGACAACAGGAGGAGTCACACCTTTAAGGGACTTTAAGAGGAGATAGTACAGGTTGTTTTTTTTCATGCAGTTGCATCAGCTACCTATCATTAGTCAGGGCCTGATTCACTCAATGATCGCTCAGCTTTTGCAGCTACTAAATCTGTGCTCACTCTCACAAGAACATACAAAACTGTGCTTCAAAGCAAACAGCGTCTCTGTGCACCGGAGCTGCTTGCACATTTTTAAATCTTGCATTATGCAGACTTCAGGGTCTAAATCCCTAATATGTGCAAAACATGTCCCGCCCTTTAACACTGGCTGTACTGTCCTGGTTGTATTATTCTGTTCTCCTGCATTTTGTGGTGTTTGTTTGTGTTTGTGTGCGAGTGAGAGCTCTGTCAGTCATGTGAAATCTTTGCTTGTTTGTTTGTTCTGTGTGCTTGTGTGAGAGTGAGGTCCTGTTGTGTGGATCTTTGTTGCTGCTCCACAGGTGAGAGGCTGGAGGAGTGGGGGAGGATTTGGTCCACGCTCAGCATCACCGGCTTTAATAATAGACGTATCGAGCTGCACCTGTCACAGCTAAACCTGTGAGTCCTCATCAGTGGATACAGTTTCACACACACACACACACAGATCAGACTTCTTACCCAGGGAGATCTTCTCTCCAGAGTCGGCGGGCAGCAGGAAGACGAGGAGAGCGAGGGTGGAGATGAGGACGCAGGGGATGAGGAGGTTGAGTCCGTAGTAGACGTTTCTCCTCCTCATCACCACGGTGAAGGTCACGTCTGGGTACGGCTCTTTGCAGCAGTCGTAGAAACGCTCGTTTCTGCGGCCAGGAACCTCTGCAAAGAAAACACCAGGTTCAAGTTTCTCTTGACTGAATCTGCCGCATCAGATACAGAGTCCTGAAAGAAGGAAAAGTAAAGTCATGAAAAAGTCAGAGTTGAATTAATCTCACCAGATAATGAAGGTCATGTCGGTGCAAGAGATGTTTTTTACACATTTAAGAAAGGATATTAAATTCCTGAGGGACTGAGAACAACACAGGACTCGCTGTATGACTTGCATAAATCACGGGATACATTTGTATTCACAGTTTATTTTGACTTTCCTTCAGGAAGACCAAACTTCAGCCGCCTTTGTAACTTCCACACTAAGCCTGTTTTAAATGTCAATTTCACAGTTTTTTCTCCTTCAGTGACTGTTAAAAATATGATCGTTATTAAGTATTGAAGCAGGAAAAAATTATGATTCAAAAAAATGAAATAATAATTGACTACAGGAAAAAACAATATACACTCGACACTAGTCTCACGTAAACAAGGAAGAGGACGCTGTATGTTCACCGCCCTTCCCTCAGTATACACTCAGAACCATACAGACAAAAGACTGAGAAACAGCTTCTTTCCCACAGCTGTGGACAAACTCCTCATCCCATAAACACTCCCCTCCTCCAACTAACAGTAATACACTGCGCAATAATGACTTTACTGCTGCTAACTGTTCACTACTTCCTTTTTAATGGACAGCTTTAAAACTGTTTATTTATTTACTCAGTCCCTGCATCTGTTGTGTTTATTCATTCACTCACTGCACAATAATAACTCTACATATTCACTCACTGCACTATAACTGTTCAATTATTCGCCCTAAATCTCTCTCTCTATATACAGTATATGTGCTCTTACCCAGGCACGGCACATAAATACTCATATTAATTCAGCCACCACAACTGTTTATTTATTTACTCACTGAACATGTAACTACAAATATATTTTATAACATGTGAACCTCTTTTTGCAAACGCAGCTGTACAGGATTGCTTCTGTAAAAAGTTTCATAGTGTTCTTTTAAACAATGACAATAAAGAGTCTATGTACTCTATATCTATCTAGAGCTGATGATGAAGCAGGTCTTGCTGCTCGTGTACTGTCCGCTCGTTTCTTCCTCTGGTGCTGTGAGTGTGATAAGTGGTGGTTACACTTTAAGTAGTCTCCATCTTGTTAGTACGGCGTTATTTATTCACAAAGCTGATGAATAAAACAAACTAATGCATCTCTGTTAGCAGAACGTTCACTCAGGTCGCTGTACTTAATGATTTATTTCCCTAAATTGCGCCCTCTCCTTAACTCACACTTTTCTTTTCTGGCCTTATTTCACAAATGGATTAGCAGAAGAAGAAAAGTCCCTGCTTCTCTTTTTAACCTTCTGCATCAGAGTGCAGCTTCACACGGCCACGCTCCTCACTACATTGGTTTTAATCTGTGCTAAAATTGCTGAGGAGGAGGAGGAGGAGGAGGAGGAAGAGGAGGGCTAAATGGGAAACATGCTGCTGAGATTTTCAATTAAGTTTCCTGTTAGCGTCCCATTGGCTGAGCAGCGTCTCTGGGGGAGGCTGCATTCCTTCCTCTGCTATCTGCTCCTTCCATTTCATTTTCTCTTTCAGAATGAAGAGGCTTTAACTCCCCTGAGACTCAGCGCGCTCCCCTGCACGTCGTTAGTGTCCCACAGCCGCTCTGAGGTCGTCCTTTGCTAAGACGCTGGGTGACCTGCGCAGGCTTTTGATTCTTTTGTCCACGTTAATGAACCCGGTCTAAGTCTAAGATATCATCACGGCCTACGGACAGATTGTTGTTTGAATATTTTCTGAGGAAGATATCAGCCGGCTTTCTTTTTCAGAGTTGAACCAGAAGATTATTTCCTCTCTGTGTTGAGCATGAAGCTTTGGTTAGCTTAGTTTAGCATGTTTAGCTTAGCATAAAGGCAAGAAGCAGTGGGACAAAGCTAAGATGGCTGTTCCAATTTAAAGCTGCTACAAACTGCAGATCTGTCTGATTTGTCGAGGCTCGTCATAGATAATCCCTGAGTGCATGTCGTCAGTGTGATTGTTTTACTGCTCCCGATCGAGTCAGAGCCTCCCTGATCTCAAACCGTTCCAGGTCGGGCTACCTCAGACAGAATACCTGTAATGAGAGCAAGCAGACCAGGAAGTACAAACATGGCAGAGAACATCTCTGTCTTTAAGTGTCTTTAACGTCTTCTTAGCCAGAATTTCACCCAGTCTGTTCTGTGCACCTCCATCACTGTCTGGTTTGGATCTGCAACCAAACTGGACAGACACAGACTGCAACGGACTATAAGGACTGCAGAAAAAATAATCGGTGTCGACCTGCCCCCCATCCAGGACTTATACCAGTCCCGGGCCAGGAAACGGGCAGGTAGTATCACTGCAGGCTCCTCACACCCCAGAAACAAACTTTTCAAACTCCTCCCCTCCGGCAAGCGTTACAGAACACTGTACGCAAAAACAACCCGTCATAAGAACAGTTTCTTCCCCCAGGCTGTCACTCTGATGATCGCTAAACAGTCACAGAGTGTCAGACCTGACGCGGTGAAATGACTCTAAACCAACCGTCACTGTGAATATACATATATGTGTGTGTGTGTGTGTGTGTGTGTGTGTGTGTGTGTGTGTGTGTGTGTGTGTGTGTGTGTGTGTGTGTGTGTGTGTGTGTGTATATATATATATATAATTTAATTTAAATGATCAATATACGCACACTTATTTATGTAAATACTGTAATTGACATCTTAATTGACATCTTAATTGACCCATCTGTCACATAACTGCATTTTACTTATCATGTTACTTCAGCATCTTTTGCACTATTCACCACTGCACTGTTTCATGTTTAGTCATGTAAATATTAGTCTTTTCTTATTATGTCTATTGTTGATATTTAATGTTGCACCTGTACATAAGAGAGCACAGTTCAACAAAGTTAAATTCCTTGTGTGTGTAAGCATACCTGGCCAATAAATCTGATTCTGATTCTGAGATTATTTTTCTAATTTTTTGTTTTTCGTTGCAAAACAGTACGCACGGCAGAAGGCCAGCTGATGACGGGGATCGTCCTCCATATTTGTTTTTCTTCTCTGTGAGATCTGGTGTCTGTGGAATCCTTACTACAAGCAGGTCTGGTTCTCGACTGGTCTGGCTTCAGGACCCACGACAGACTCCTTCACGGAACATTTGCGACCCAAAGTTCTGCTATTTGTCAACCAATCAGATTGTTTCTGGAAAAATGGCACCATTTGGATCTCAGACTGTAAACAAAACCTGAGACAGAACAAAGAAATGGAATAAAACAAACATGTTTAAAAACCGCTTCATGGACTTTTTGACACAATTTTTGTTTTCAGGCACAAAATCACAACCAACTGAACACAGCTACATGACCCACTTTTGGGTCCCGACCCCGCTTGTTGAGAACCACTGGTGTAGTGTGTGCGTTCAGAGGATGATAACGTTTAAAATCTGTGAGCCGTCTTCATGTCTGCGGTCTCCGAAAACTCCCCTCCGAGGCTGTTCTGGTTGGACGACTCTCATACGATACAATATCTAAACTATAATCTATAAATAGAAACAAACAACAACCCATGTAACCAGAGTTACAGGTAACGATGTACACCACAAACACCACATGCTGCAAATGACCTGTTCTGCACACGAGCTGCATGAAGCAACATAACCAGGAGAGAAGGACATAATGCCATGACACGTCTGAACCATCAAACTGAATGAATGTGATGAATGACGTTGATAAACAGAGGCAGGGTTAAAAACCTGCAGATCTTTTTGTGTTATCCTGTAAGAACAGTCATCATGCAGCCGACGTGTGCGTGATCAGACTTTGGGTGTAGAAATCATCGTACGACAGGGTCCACATGGGACCTATGAAACGTGCGTATCTGGCTGATCACAGCGTACACATGACTGAGTGTTGATAAGTGTGGCGGCTGGAAACGATCGTCATTCAAATACCACGCCCCTATTTATTCACGGTTTAGCTGTCCTTGCCCCCAGAGATTACGGCATGGAGATACGTAATACGGCAAAGAAGAGAAACGAGATATGACATGAGTGACACCATAACAGAGAAAAGAGGAATAACATTGTGTTGTCTGGCAGCCTGAAATGTAGGATTAAAGAGCTTCAGAAGAAATGCGCCTGCATGGAAATCTCAACAGCGTTGGTGTGGATAACCGAACTCCAGCAGAGATTTAATAAATAATTTAACATCCGTGTAATGTACATAATCTAGGCTATAATATAATCAAATTTGTATACTTTTAGTTACCTGGTCAGACCTTAAGATCGCTACAATGTAGCTTAGTGTTGCAGGTCTTAAAAGAAGCAGCTTCCGGACGCCAGCCCGGACCCCACCTGAAATAATCCCAGATCCAGGAGCGAACCTGCATCTGTGTCGAATAATGTCAGCTGCACTAATGTGCTCCTTGCTCGCCATTAATGACACTTTAAAAGAGATTAATGAAAACCTGAAACGTCCTGCAACAAATGAATAAAGTGTTTGATCAAACGCTGTGTAATGTGTATTTCTCATCTGAATGGCCTATATTTCAAACGTAAGAATTTAACACTTGGATATAAGAAGCCCCCAGATTTCTTTATTCATTACTAAGTAATGTAGTCTGGCCTTAGGGCGTCTGCTGTGCGCAATTACGCATGTGGCACCTGAGCGCATTATTGATTATTTAAATCTCTGCACATACCGATTAGTTAATGTTCTTTATTCTTAAATATTTCATATTTCAGAGGTTAAAAGTTGTACTTAGTATCAGCTGGAGGTTTCCCTGTCCTTTTAAAGTAACTGCTTTAAGTTTTTCTGTTTTAATTTGTCTCAGTATTTTCTGCAGCGATATTCCTGTGTGCATGAACGTGTAACATGTAGGCTTTATTACCGAAAGCAGCCTCTCTAATACCTAATCTTTAAAGTAAATCGATTAAAAAACATTAATTCATCAAATATAACACACAACTTGTCATGAACGGTTGGAAAACAAGGGAGGTGGACCCAAGTGCAGAATAACCAAAAATATTTAATTAAACAAAAAGGCCAAAGGGCGAACTAAACTTACTTCAAAAATCCAAAAAGGGAAAACAAGGAGCAACAAGGAAACGTTATAAATGTTAAAAATAAAATATACAGGCACTGCAGTATGATCTAATGATTGTCCGACACAGACAGATTCGCTGCACCGCAAGTCCACACTGAGTTGAAAACGTGCGTACACGAGCTGAGACCTGGCGTGGGATTTGACCGTACCCTCTGCTCGCGTCTAAATTGATAAATGCCAAACTTTGCGTGAAAATGACCTTACACCCATTTTTCTGCCGTACGTACATTTGATAAGTGAGGGCCTCTGTGTGTGTGTGTGTGTGTTCTGATGAGGAGGCTGCCTCACAGCTTGTCATGGTAAACACACACACAGCGGTTAAACCTGAATCTGTCACCGTCTGTGCTCAATGTGAATGCAGACTCTGAATCTGAACACATCAATCCAACTGACTCGTGTAGCTCTCTTTCCTGTTACCACTGGTTGTGTCTGTCCTTACAGAGAAGCAGGAGGACTACTTTCTCCTGTGTGACGTCCTTCCAGAGGACCGAATCCTCCGAGAGAGGCCACAGCAGAAACGAGTGACGAGGACAAACGACCGACTCACCTGCCTTCAGTCGCCTCAAGTAGTTTTGTTTTGGAAAAGAAAGTCCGGGCTGAAATGTGATGATATAAATGTCACTCATGGGTCACGCTTTGTTGGCTGATCTGGCACTCGTCAGCGGTGTGGTTGATACAAACACGGCCTGCAGCGCTCCCAGCAGCCGGCGGGATCAGCGAGCGTCTGGCAGCAACTGCAGCAGCAGGACGATTTAATTAGCAGCAGATTAATGCTGGATGGGAGCGCTGATAGGAGGCCCTCCTCACCAGGCAGACCTCTGAGCTGCAGCGAGGCTTCATAGGGTCGAGCCTGCAGCTTTACACACACACGCTCGCTGTCAGGGAGTGGACTCCGACATGTCAGCTACAGGAACACCAACGGCTTCGTTTGAACCAGCTGCAATCTCAATCTCAATCGTTGCCCATCTATTTCATAAGACAGGAGGGTGACTTTTCAAAAACAGGTCAACTCCCGCACACTGTCTTACTTGTTAGAATTTATCTGCAACGTTTCGACCACAGATGGATGCTTCCCGTTTGTTTTGAACCCAGAATACCCCGATTCACACCTGCTCTGTTCTCCTGAAATGCCCTGACTTGGTGCAGGTTGTGAATACAAACGTCTGAGTCTCTTTTAACTTGTCTTTAAGGTGACGTCTTCCTTCACACTCTGATAAAAAAAGCATTAATTTGACCTCTGACGACAGGAGTTGTTGCTCTCCTCCAGCTGCCTCTTCGGTTCACTCTGGTGTTTACAGTGTTTAGTCCAGAACCAACAAAATATTTTTATGACACAACAACACCATCGAGGTTTGTGAAAAGAAAGAAGAAGTTCTAAAGAGACTGAAGAAGAGAGAGAGTTTAATGTTCAAACTGAGATTACTTTCTCGTCTCTGCAGAGCTCCCCGAACACTTTGAGAAGCAGCAGCGAGCGTTCAATTGTTGGTTTCATGAAAGTGACAGAAATCGGCACATTTTCGCCCCCACATTTTCGCCCCCACATTTTCAGCGTTGAAAAGGTGTCGGGGGAAGCACTTTTCTGACGCCGTTTGATCATTTGACATCATGTCTGATGGAGTGTTCTGATGCCTTAATGCTGAATGGGAGCACATCTCAGCAGCCAGGTTTCAGCATGTTGAAGAAGGTTTTCTCAGGAGAGCGGAGGCTGCAGGTTTGATTTCCTGATCACATATTTGACATCTGAGAGTCGCTCGAGCTCGGTTATTCTGCACGTTGTCTTAAACCAAGGTGGTTCAAGGTGCATTGTTCGATATGTAACAAGAGTCGTAAATTCAGGAACTTTTTTTAAACTAGAAGGACAAACAGAGCTCAATAACACGAAACTGTGTTGTTTCAAAAATGTTTGGACCAATCAGAGAGCAAAGACGAACAAAATACTAAACAATCTGAACACTTCATATTTTCCTACCCACGAGGTCCCATTCTCCGTTGGCAATGTATCCGGTGATGTCCGCCTCGATCATCTGCAGGTCCAGAGACCAGCCGCCGTACGTCCACGAGCCGAACTTCAGGTCGCAGCGCTGCACGTCAAAGGGAAACCAGCGGACGTCGATGTAACACGTGCTTTTAAATATCCCTGAGAGAAAAAACAAAAGAGGAGGAGAGAGAGAAATTTAAGAAGGAGGGAAATGCATGAGGCGTCACGGTGTTGCAGTGGTTAGTGCTGTCCCAGTGAGGAGGTTCCTGGTTCAAATGCCCTTCTGACAGGAGCCTCTCTGTGTGGAGTCTGCATGTTCTCCCCGTGCACGTGTGGGTTCTCTCTCTAAATTTTCTTCAGTGGCGATTCTAGAGACGACTGGGGCCCGAGACAGAAACCTCCAACGATCATCACCATCCTGTCCGCCAGCGTCCCGACCCTTGCTCCTCTTCCCTTTTTTAACCTGTTTTGTTTTTCTCTCCTTTAGATGGATCTTTGTTGACTTTCATTGACAAACTCTGGTTCTACAGCAGTAATGCTGCAATGGTCAGCAGGGCAACCACAGTGAGTACTGTCAGATGGCACCCCCTTAGGGCGGTTTCCTACTGTCGTTGCAGAATTTGCACATTTCGGGGCACTTCTTTGGTGAAGGTGTCTGAGCCCTCAGGGGCCCCCTTGCTGGTCTGGGGTCCTAAGCAGTTGCCTGTTGACGAGCCGCACCCCTGTGCAGAATAAGATCTGAACAAGAGCTGATGAATATTTTTGTGTCAGCTCGAGTTGCAGTTGGAGCGAGAGATCAATAGCCAATCAAATCTGTCCAAAGTAATTACTGAAAATGAAGGACTGAGGCGGGAAAAGAAGATCAAGCTTTCAAAGCTGAAAGACAGAAATTACAGAGCAGACAGAAAAGCAAAGATTGGAGCGACAGAAACAAAATGACTCGGGGAATGAGGACGCAGAGAAGAGGACAAAGAGTTCACAGAGCAACTCCAAACATCAGCAGTGAAGTGCTTTTCTTTTTTTACAGGTAAACAAGAAAACATGAAAACCATCAGGAGAAAAAAAAACATGTTGGAGGTTTTTTTTCTTTATTGACTTTGCAAAGATCAGCCGGGGGAATCCAATCGGATCCCGAGACAGCCGGTACCTGCTGTCTCCAGAAAGAAAAAAAATGAAAGTTTAATGATCCCGGAGGAGGAATGAGGACGCTGCTGCAGCAGAATAAACAGGAAACAGCCGAGGAGATACACAGATTAAAAATAGAAGATTAAGAATAACGCTGAGGAAAGTTTCATTATGAGAGGAGCGGGAGGGGAAACAAACACAAGGAGAGAAATGGTGCCGAGGATCAGGGTTAAATCAGAGGACTCTACATCATGCAATAACAAACACATGTTGTGGTCTTTGTCCCTCCTGACCCCCCCCCCCCCCCCCCACTCTGATCAATAACCTGTCAGAGGTAATAGAGCCGTTAGGACTTTTATTACTTATTGATTCCTGATTCAACGATGGCTTTCATTCATCTCCCTGACGTGTCATGTTTGAGCTATCAGCTGGTGTTCAGTCTGCGGATTGATCGCATTTTGTTTCCTTTATTGTGAGATTTTTTTTAATTTGATGTTTGAGTCCATAAAAAGAATGGTCATATATCTTCAGTGTTCAGCTGCCTGGTTAAAAGTCGTGATGAGTCTCAGGTCATTCATCAACAGGACCATAACTCCTCCTGACCTCCTCCCTGTTGACCCCTCAACCTCATGTTGACCCCCCCCCCCCCCGTCAGGGTTTGATAGCGTCGTTTGATGGCACCTCTGAGGCAGTTCGGGTGATTGGTTGCTGTAATGATTTTCTTCACGTCTTTATGTTTGATTTGAGACAAAGGAGTCATTGTTGAACTCAACATTAAAGGCGATCAGCTCAATGTTGATGCTCCAGTATGTTTACAATCCGAACACATGAAGTCACATCTGATTTAAAAAGCGTTTGTTGATGTAAACCAGAAACACTCATGAGGCCTTTTCACACATAGACTCCTGAAAATATCCAGATACATTCAGGAGGACTGCTCCTAAAATCCTCCTGACTTGTTCACACATGCACCTCACAGAAGGAGACTATCCCTGTCAGACAGGAGGGGGGGGTCTCCTGAGGTAATAAGAGCGACCAGGAAGTATTGGACGAAGCATCAGAGTCCTCTATAAGATGCTATAATGAGAATATTTGTCTTTATATCAATGCTACGTCTTTGTTGAACAGAATCTCAATCTGAACTAAAGAGTGGAGAAGAACATACTGGAGGACAGGAAACATAATGCAGCAGGTTCATTAGAGCACAGAGATGGTAAAGGTGGCGTGCAGACAGTCTATGGTCGTGCAGGGAATAAACGTCACCACCCCCTCCCACTCACTCCAGGTGAATTCTCCTGATTATATCCTGCTGCGTTCTCACATCAGCTCACTCTGACTTTCTGCAGAATAAATACGAGGAGGCTGGAGGAGAAACTCCAGGTGAAGAGAGAAACATTCAGCTGTTTGTGTTCACAAATGACGCTCAGCCTTCTAAAAGGAGTTTTCTAAAAGAGTGAAAGCTCTATTTGACTACATTCAGATTCATTTTAGGATACTCTCAAATTTCATCACAAGATGCACAAATGCTAATACAGACACGGGCGGATCATTCTTCGATAGTGTAATGGGCGGGGCTTGTTGGTGTGTTACCTGGTGGCAGGTACTGACAGTATCCAGAGGAGTTGACCAGGATGTTGGTGTGGAATGAGGCGTCGAACCTTTCATCAGCACTGAGGAGACAGATGACATGGAGACATCAGAGAGGTCATTAAAGGTCACTGAAGTTTCATCATGGCTACAGCTGATCATACACACGGACCAATATAATGTGTACAATTAAATTATTATGTTGCAAAATGGCATGACCTGGGGTGACCTGCATCTGCTCCCAATCCTAATCTCACCCAGAGCACCAAACCGGATGAGCTGTGCCTGTACTGTTAAACTTTGAAACACCTATTCTCTCTCTATGAGCGTTTGTTCAAAGGGAGAAAACTTCAAACTACTCTGAGTTCACTGTAAAAGTTGACCCAGTGCCCGATAACATTTCAAAGTCCGACTCTGATGGCGCTCATTGACCCCTCTCATTAAAGCCAGCCGGGTCAATATTCTCTCTGAGACCCTCCCCCTCCTCCTTCACCTCCTGCCAGGTTCAAACTTTCTCCCTAACGCAGCTCGGTTAATGAGCTGAACTCGTCAGCACCCAGCAGAGAGCCTCCCACAGCGTGCAGCGACCATGCTTTAACCGCGTGCTGTAACCCTGACAGGAGAGACGCCAACATTAGCGCTGATGACAGGAGGGAATGAGCTGAGCTAGCTTGTTTACCGAATCAGAACTAAAGGATGGAAGTGAACCGTCATCGTTCAGGGCGTCTCACCGTGAACTGAAACATCCTCAGGCCATAGGAGACAAATTGATCCGGTTGTTCCTCCTTTTTTTACAGAAATGTTGCCAAGAGGTGGGTGGAGGATGGAGGGTTATTTGGATGCAACACTCCTCTGACTCCAAAATTAATTTTCAAGTCACTCTGAGCAGGAACCCCTCGGGTTAGAGGTGCTGAGGCAACCACAACCCCCAAGGTTTCTGAGTCAAGAATAAGACTTTATACGACATCTTAGCTGACTCATGAAGCGAGCATCTATTGATCGTCTGTAATGTGGGAGGTCGTGTACCTGTTGTACAGCAGGATGTCCGGCCTCCAGATCTGGTTGTCGGGGAATCTGACGTTGGTCACACCAGGATAGTCGGACGTGTTCCACTGCAGGTAGAAATCTGTCCAGTACTGAAACACAGACGCACACAGAAACACAGCCTAGTTCAAGTTTTCACAATAACACTTTGTTCACTTAAAAGAAAAAGACTACTTTTTGAAAGAAGCTGTAACTGTCCTGGAGCAGAAAACATGTTGAGGTCTGGATCTGTCTCTCATATTTTATGAGACATAAAGTTTAAAGTTTGTTCTCTGTAAAATCTGTGAGAACAGAAGTCTGTGGTTATAGAGCGCCACAGGAATGAGTCCTAAAACCCAGAAGTAAGTTAGCATTTGAGCGCCATGGGGTCTAACGTCTAAAAGTCAATGGGGATTTTGAATGGGTTTGTGGTTAGACGCCTGAAATAAGTTCTCTGGTTAACACAAGCTTAAGAGATGTTGGCGTTTTGTTAGACCACATAAACTACGTTAGGTAATACCCCCACTTGTGAATTTTGAAGATTTTACGAGTCTTTAAAAAGGCGGTTGCTAACAAGTGGCTAAATGTGACGACAGTGGTTGTCAGGGACATTAAACGTCATCACGCCGGACACAGAGGCCGGGAACTCTCTCACTAGTCCGTGATGTCTCCTGTAGGTAAAATCTTCGGGTTCAGGCAAATATTAGGTTAGGAAACAATTTATTAAGCTACGTGGATTAGTTTATCAGAGATCGTCTGAAGCATAACGCTAGTGACATCACAAGGTTATTTTCTGCAATGATCCAATGCAAAAATCCCATATGTTAATTCTCGTTAGACCCCATGGCGATGCTACTTCTGGGTTGGCCTACAAAAATACGTCATATGGTTTGTTCTCTATTAATGGACGAAGCCTGAGTGACGTTCCCCTGTATGTTCCTGCAGGGGGTGCTGGAGTTCCATCGATGGCGGTCTCCATGCTGGAAATGCTGTCTCTAACTTTCAGTCAACCTAACGACAGGCTGAGAGCTGGAGCTAAGGCGGGTTTTAAGCTTCCTGACAAACCGTTACACCGCTCCTAACCTGTCAATCAGGTCAGCTGCACGCCTTATTGTTAATAACTCTTATTCTTCATCAAATCAAAAAACGGATGAGTCATCAAAACATTCACCCCCCGTACAGTGTGTGTCGATCGAGACATGAGCTAATCAGACCTATTTGGTGTTTTGAACCAGGCTGTAAACATGTTAATCTGCAGGATTTTACACTTTGGATTTTACACTTTGGATTTTACACTTTTCAACGCCGGAGGTAGCCGCTCGGTGAGAACTATAAACTTTAACAATTTGTGTTTTGACTAAAAGCAGCTGATAAGTAGCCGCTCGTCCCTTGTTGACCTCCGCCTTGCAGCCTGTTGTTGTCTGGATTATACCGACGCTCTTTATTCTTTTCTCTTTGTGTGTTTGGAAGCAGCTGTGAGAGAGGAGCCTGTGCTGCCATGACACATCAGGACTGTGCTGATGTCTAATTTACATTCACAGCTCTCGTGGCCGGCTCCCTCCCCATCACATCTCTCTCTCTGAGCTCCCCGCTCTGTGGCTGTGAAGGTCACACTCGTCTCCTCGAGTCTTGTTTACTGGCTGTCACTGAGCTCAAATGTTCTCCTCACAGGAAGTCACAGCGGCATCAGTGATCCCCGCTCCTTAGAAATCACAAGACCAGACTCTGAAGTTTCTGGATCTGAACTACAAGACTGTAAATTCTTGGGGGAAACTTTGAGGAAATATTTTTAGAAATGTGTTTGATGTTTTGAGGTTCTCATAATGTGCAAAGTTTGGTGCAATTTTATTTTCTTGGACTCGGATATTTGATCTGCAGTTCAAGGCATCATCTAACATCCAATTAAAGAAATGGTAAAAATACTGACTTCAATCTCATCTTATCTTTCCTGTAGGGATTCAAAGTTGAGAGTATTAACGACTCTTCTTTTTTCTTAGAGAGATTCATTTAGCTTGTTTGGTTAGGTGGTGTGAACGCTCAAACTAACTCTAGTGCGGACCAAAGAACTGAACTCTGGTCCGCTTAAAAAAGGGGTTTTCTCAGATCACTTCCAAGTGCTCCAGAGTTCAGTTCGTCGTAGGTGAGAACGCGATCCGAACAAAGCGAGGGAAGTAAACCAAAAAAGCAGTGCATTGTGGGTTGAATTTGACCGCCTTTATACAATGTCAATTAGGTTTGCAGAGCATGGCTAACGTTAGCATTGCTAACAACACCAGCCTTCAGTCCTTCTTGCAGGTCTCTTGCCTGTGCTTTGTGTGGTTACACATCGCTCCGGTCGATATGTCAGTTTAACCTGAAACAGCCGACATGAAACTTTTTTAGACCATTTTATAGATCTAAA